ACTTGCAGGCTATATGAACAAGTCACTCAGGCTATTTTGTGCCACTTTTCTTCTCTGAACACAGAGATAACAGTAGAACCTGCCTCACAGGGTTGCACAATTAAGTCATCATACTTGTAAACGCCTAGAACAATGGTTGGCCCTTTATAACCATCACTAGGATTAGTCCTGCAACCTTTTCAGAGTTCAAGTTTAAGAGGTTGAAAAAAGAAAAACAAAATCTTGGGAAGCACATTTTATGCCAGGATACAACAAAGCCTCATAAATCACCCTCCAACCAGCAGGTCCCTTCCCCTCCCAAAACCTCCATAGAACAATGTTTTGCTTAAAAAGCAAGAGCTTTTGAGTCTGGAGGAAAAAACTTGCCGTACAACCATCTGCTGTGGCCTTGGACAAGTTACTTGACCTCTTTGATCATTCACTTTTCTCCTTTGTACACAGACACAAGAGTATCCACAGGCAAGATTATTGGGAGAAGTAAAAGAGATAATCACATAAGATATGTCTTTTGGCGCTTTACCAGCACAAAAGCAAGAACAAGGATATTTCTTCTAGCTAAGTCTAGCTCAGGAAGAAGACAGACCTTTGCTTTTGAGTTGGCCAAACAGTAATGAAGAGTGGCCTCTTGCTAGCTCACTACCAAATAGCACTGTCCATTTGTTCCAATAGAAGCTCCCTTCATTCTGGCTTCTCGAGTTATGAAACAAGGATGCACTAAATTTCAGTCATTTTTAGGGCACTTCCTGTGGAGAACTTAACCTCTTAAAATATCGCAGGTAAATGGAGCACTATAGTTGAGACTCAAAGCAAGCATTGACCTTAGGTCAGATTTAGATGCTCTGTGTGACTTTGGGCAAGTTACCTAACTTTTCTGGACTTCCACTGCATCACTTGCAAATTAGAAGGAACACGCCCAGAGAGTTTTAGAAGGACTAAATGATATAATATAAAACCCACATTCATCCCTTCCTGCTTTCCTCCTATGAAAGGCTAGAGGCCCTATCTCTCCTCTGAGACCTATTCCATCCCCTGGGCTCTGGCTCTCACCTCCTCCCTGCCTTCAGGATTTCCTTCTGTCAATCATCTGTCCTTTTCTGTATCTTCTTTCCATTGCTCCCTCCACTCAGTCAGTTCCACTCATCAACTTTAACATGTGGCTAAGTTTCTCTCCTTAGAAGAAAAACAATCCAGCACATTTATAGCCCACAATTTTTTTGTTAAAGAACTGAACTTACATGCTGTCTCCATCCTCTCACCACTGTTTTCAGTTCATTCTGGTGTGAACCACGCCCAGTCCACTCCACTGAGAATTCTCACACTAAACCTTTCACAGAACTCCCTCCAGCAGACAGTCTTTAGCCCTTAATTTCTCTGAATGTTCTATAGTGCTTCTTCTTGTTACTCATCCCCTCTTTTAGAATGCTTTTCCTTTACGTTCCACAAGGTTTCATTCAAGAAAACCACAAGTTTTCTTCCTTCCTCTCAGACTTACTCTTATCCTCCCTGTTAGCATCTCTTCTTCGTCTCTGGATGCTCATCTTTCCTCAGGACATTAGAACTATTTTTCTCCCAAGTGGGCGCTCTCCCTGGGAAGGTTCACTACCCATTAGCCCCTCCTCATTCATTCACCATCAGCCTCAGCGTAGTAGCTGCATGTCCCAGGGGCCTGTCCCCAGCCCTAGCCCTAGCCCACCCTAGATCCTATAAGTACCATCCCCCTACCTATCTCACTTGGCAAGGGGAAAGCTGACGTTTTCGGGGTTCTTGTTTTTAACCAAAAGATTCTGTCAGGCTTGTTTAAGCACTAAAGAAATTCTATGAAAATTTCCAAGGATCTTAAGACACAATAAGCCTGTAAGCTGGGCTCTGGGCTTGTGCTTTTCACCTGTAAATTATGCTTCCTCCCATAGAAGTAGGCAGTGAATCTCAGCCTCAGACTTATGGAAAGAGTTTGAATTTTCACATAGCCCAGTACCAGGAGTACACCTCCAACACCCCCAACCCCTGGCCACGACGCGCCTCTCTCTTCAGGGCCCATGCTATATTAAGTGTGCACATTTTAAATACTGCCTAATAAACTTCTTCCTGCTTCTCACTGACATGTCTTGAAAGTTTTTCTGTAACAAATGAAATGAAAACCTAAACAGAATGAATACAAATAAATAACCTGATGTTACACCTCAGACAATTAGAAAAAGAAGAGCCAGTTAAGCCCAAAGCCAAAAGAAGAGAGGAAATAATAAAAATCAGAGCAGAAATCAATGCAATAGAGACTAAGAAAACAATCCAAAGAATCGATGAACCAAAGAGTTGGTTCTTTGAAAGAATAAATAAAATTGATAAGCCCCTAGCCAACCTTATTCAAAAAAGGGAAGAAAAAGCTCAAATTCATGCAATACGAAATGAAAAAGGCGAAATCACTACAGACTCTACAAAAATACAGAAGATCATTAACACCTATTTTGAAAACCTCTACTCTCATAGGTTTGATAACACAGAAGAAATAGACAGATTCTTAGAAACATATGAAGTACCAAAGCTAGATCAAGAGGATGTAAAACTGCTGAATAACCCAATTTCTATTAATGAAATTGAAAATGTAATTAAGTTCTTACGTACAAAGAAGAGCCCAGGCCCAGATAGATTCACTGCAGAATTCTACAAGAAATACAAAGAAGACTTAATGCCGACACTCCTCAAACTCTTCAATGAAATTGAAAGGGAAGCAATCCTTCCGAAGTCATTGCTGGAAGCAAATATTACTCTAGTACCAAAGCCTGAGAAAGACCCAACTGAAAAAGAGAACTACAGGTCAATGTCCCTAATGAACATAGATGCAAAAATCCTCAATAAAATATTGGCAAATAGGATGCAGCAAATCATCAAGAAGATTATACACCATGACCAAGTGGGATTCATCCCAGGCATGCAGGGATGGTTCAACATACGTAAATCAATAAATGTAATCCACCATATCAATAAAGCCAAAAATAAGAATCACATGATCATTTCTATAGATGCAGAAAAAGCCTTTGATAAGGTCCAACATTCATTTATGATAAGAACTTTACAGAAAATTGAAATAGATGGTCTTTACCTCAATATAATAAAGGCCATCTACGACAAACCAATAGCCAGTATCATACTAAATGGCCAAAAACTGAAAGCCTTTACTTTAAAATCAGGTACAAGACAAGAATGTCCCTTATCACCGCTCCTATTTAATACAGTACTGGAAATAGTAAGCAGAGCTATTAGACAAGAGAAAGAAATAAAAGGGGTAAAGATAGGAAAAGAAGAAGTTAAATTATCATTGCAGATGACATAATACTCTATATAGAAGACCCCCAAAACTCCATTGAAAGACTTGTAGATATAATAAATAAATTCAGTAATGTAGCTGGATACAAAATCAATACTCAAAAATCAATAGCATTCCTATACACTAACAACAAAATCACTGACAGAGAAATAAGAGAAGCCACACCCTTCTCTCAATAGCAATCAAAAAAAATTAAATATTTAGGAATTATTCTCATGAAAGAAGAGAGAGACCTCTACAAGGAAAATTATAATACACTGAAAAAAGAAATTGAAGACAATCTCAGAAAATAGAAAGACATCCCTTGCTCATAGATAGGAAGAATAAATATTGTGGAAATGGCCATTCTCCCAAACTGTTATACAGATTCAATGCAATCCCAATAAAAATACCATCAACATATCTCATAGATCTCGAGAAATCAATCCTAAAATTCATCTGGAGCGAGAAGAGACCTAGAATACCAAAGACAGTGCTAAGCAGCAAAGGCAAGGCAGGAGGCATCACAATCCCTGACTTGAAGTTATACTACAAAGCAACAGTAGTAAAATCAACATGGTACTGGAATCAAAACAGAGCCAAAGATCAATGGAATAGATTAGGAGATACAACGACAACTAGAAACACACTCAACCACCTTATCTTTGATTAAAGGGCCAAACGTTCACTGGAAGAATGACTACTATTTCTAAGATGACAATATGTAATTTATTAACTAGTGATTTCTTACTGTTTATTTTTTTTTTTTGAAATTCTGTATTACTTGTAACCCTTTTACTGTTTTGTTTTGTTTTCTCTTTAAATAATAATTAAAAAAAAAAAAAAACCTACCTCATGGCTTGGGTGAGTTGAGATCCCCATTTCCTCTTTAGGAACTCATCGTTTGGACCTTGTCTGGTGACAATCTGACTGTTCTTATTCAACCCAGAGACCTTTGCTTAAATGAACTTCCTCAAGAAAGTCATCCTTGAATTCCTTGCTTCAGATTTTATATTCCTCTGTCTGGTCAGATCCACTTCTTCTACCTCCTGTTCATCTTTAAACAAGACACATGTCATATCATCTGGTAAAAATTTCCTCAATTCTCTGCCTCAACAGTGTTCTTTAAGTTTTGGAAGGGAAGAAACCATCTTTTTATTGTTCATCATTGCCCCAAAGCAACTTAGCACAGTTCCAGGCACAACATAAAATTTATAAATATGCCTTGTACATATTAGATGCCCAAAATGTTCCTAGGAATGACAAGGGAAGAACTGATACACAGGGCTCACAACAAGATGTAGCATAATTTAGCCCAAGTGGGATGATGTGGTTCAGAGTAGTAGTGTGAATTCCTAGGGCTCAGCTTCTGTTCCATCTCCACTTGGGTCCCTATGGAACCCAGGCCTCCAACTCAAATCATAGAAACAGCTTTCATTAAAAATGACAGAGGCCACATAGGTCTATGGATAGCAGACTCTCAAAATAATTCACAATTCATGAGACGATCTAGATTAGCCTTTTTAAGCCAGCAGCAAATTCTCAAATTCTAATAACACATTTCTGTGATCTCACAACAGAAAAGACAACTGTATCCCAGTATGCGAACTGCTGATTCAAATAGCCCAATAAAACCCAATCAACTCTAGGAGCTCTCCACCCAGCGGTGACTCATGGCCTCTCAGTCAGCAAAGGGAGAGCCAGGAAAGACACAGGAAGAGGCAAGGAGGAAGAACAAGAACCAGCAAGGTCATACTGATACACAGTCCCCTCCGCCCAGCCATTCACGCTCCTCTGCTGAGAACTGGTGACAGCCACCCCACGCCCAGCACGCAAGGTGGGTTCTCACCTAGGCCGGCATCTGCTTCCCAAGAGTGCTCCTTTTGGTGGAGGGCCAGCACCAGGCTGGACAGTCAGCCACAGCCTTTGCCAAGCTGCCACAAGCATGAGCTCATTTTAGAAAACCAAAGGGAGCTGAGAAGAACCAGCATACCTTATCAGTTCAGGTAGGCCTTAGTCCTATCAAATGGACCCAAAGGCAAAGGTGAGTGAGTGTTACTCCTGGGGAGTGAGTGCTCTCCTCTCAGGCTGATCTCCCTACCTCTGATAACCAGCTTCTTCTGGTTATCACACAGCTCGCTCTAGGAATAACTAAATTCAAACCTGTGCCCTCTAAAGCTTACTAAGGGCTGGCTGGTTCCTGTCAGTGGCTGTATAATTGTGCAGGGTGGCATTATGCTCTGGCTTCTTTTTGTTTTTATCGGTATCAGGGATTGAACTCACGACTGCCTGCTTGCAAGGCAGGCGCTTATGCCGCTGAGCTAAATCCCCAGCCCCGTGCTCTGGCTTCTACCTGAACCCTCTCACTTCATTTTCTGCCATTCCCTCCAACTCTATACTCCCAACAACTGAAGCACCCCAAAGCATCTGACAACTTCCTGACCACATAGGCCATGCTCCCACCTGCTACCTGGACCACCCCTAACCTTCTCCTGGGGAACATGTTACCGCCCAGATTCCATCTGTCTCTCTTCCCGTAGGCAGACTTTCTAAGTCCATCTTCTATCCAGCTGAAATTAACTATTTCCTCCTTTGAGCTACCACTTTTCTTTGTACATACCCTGTGTGACACATTTGTCACATTATACAATCGTTACTTGCTTATACATTTGTCTGACTTACTCTACAAACCTCTGAATCTCTTTATCACTGTTTTCAGAGCCCACCATGATGTTCACGATGTACTGGGAGCTTAGCAAGTGTGTGGTGAATAAATTAGTGCGTATATGCGTACTCACAGAGCAAAACTTGAATGGTGACATTCTTTTGTTACTCAGGGAAGCCAGTAGATGATGATAGTATTTCCAAACCAAAAATATGCCTCCGAGGCACTTCTCTCTCTTTCTCTCTGTCTCTCTCTCTGTCTCTGTCCCTCTTTCTGTCTCTCTCTCTCTTTCTGTCTATCTCTCTGTCTCTTTTTCTGTCTCTCACTCTTTGTCTCTCTGTCTCTGTCTCTCTCATTCTCTGTCTCTGTGTGTCTCGCTGTCTCTCTCTCTGTCGCTCTCTGTCTCTCTCTCTCTCTGTCTCTGTCTTTCTCTCTCTGGTCTTGCTTTGTGGTACAAGCTGCCCTTGAACTTATTATGTAGCCCCGATTGGCCCTGAATTCCAAGAAATCCTCTGGGCCTCAGCCACCCAAGTACTGAGATTATAGACATGCACCACCGTGCCCAGGTAAGGGCCTCTAATTTTAATCTAACCTATGACTAGAAACTTTGTGAGCAATTTCATTCTAACTTCAGCTGGGGAGGCAAGACAGTACTTTCTCATTTCCGCTGATCCCTTTATATATATTCATAAGTTCAAATCAAACATGGGACATCCAGATGGAACCACAAGCAGAAGTGGGTTCCTGTCCGATGAGAAGAATTTATACCCACTTAACTTCCTACAGATGATGAATGTTTCAATTTTTGTTTAAATTTTTATCTTTTTCAATGAAAATGTCAATCCACCTAGGCATAGTGATAAATGCCTTTAATTCCAGCACTCAGGGAGGCTGAAGCAGGAGGATTAAAGTTTCAAGCGCTGTTTAGGCAATTAATTAGCAAGACCTTATGTCAATTTTTTTCTTTTTAAAACAGGGTCTCACCACATAATCCAAGTTGGCCTGGAACTCATGGCAATCCCCCTGCTTCAGCCTCCTGAGTGCTGGGATTATGGGTGTGTTTCATCATCCCCAGCTCTGTCTCAAAATTCAAGAAGAAAGGAAAGCAAAAGAAAAGAAAAGATCTGGGGATACATCTCAGTGCAAAGGCCCTGAGTTCAGCCTCCAGCACTGCAAAATATAAAGTCAGTGCTAATCCCCAAAATAGAGATGTTTAAGTACCGGAAGACAATGACTTAATACAGCCTTTCCTAGCCTACTTACTAATTTTTATTTAAATCATACATCCTAATTTCAGTTTTTGAGCTGAACTCTATATTCACAGTACCAGTCTGCATGGCTTAGTTCTAGTCATTTTATCTACCTGGGAAATAACGTGTATTGAGATATAGTAAGTTCAGGCACTATGTTAGATGCTTTATGTCTGTCATGCTATTCACTTTGCCTCACGACCACTTTAAAAGTTGCCATTGATAGGTTTTAGGCTGCCCAGCATTTGAAATCCCTTCCCAGGTTTGAGAAATTCCCATCATTTGAGTTTTGGAAGGGACAGATTCTCCTTTACTCTATACAGGCTAGAAGGGCAGGTACTTACTTTCTAAGACTCTCTTCACATAGAAAGTTAGCACAAGTCCTATGCTATCCTAGCAGTAAACCCATCCAGACTGAAATCTACCTAGTGATAGAGTTATTTCCAAAAGATGAAAAATATTAACAAAAGATGAGAAATATAAAATAAAAAGCGGCCTTTATTCTGAGAACACGGAGAGAGATGACCGGCAACCCCACCACTGGCGTCCAGCGATCTCTCCGGCGGACACGCGGCGTGGGGGCCTATAAATAGCCTCGGTTTGGGGTGGAACCTAAGGCGGGCATTAGGGATACACAGGTAGCCCATTGGTCCTAGGTTTGGCGCCATATGTAAATTCCCAGGGGCGGGAAGATGGCGTCACAGGTAACTTCCTAGGGGCAGGGCAAGATGGGGCTTCCTGCTTCCAGTTGTGGCTTTCCTGGCTACAGTGTCCTGTCTGGGCCAAAACCTTTCATATCCCGTCTTATGGTTATTATTATGAAAAGGGGCGAAGATTTCTCTCTTTAACTACTTCCTGCTGGCAAAGGGCACTGTACTGGAGCCTAGGGGAGTCGACGGGATGAAGGTTGATGCCCAGGTAGACGCTGCTGCCAGGTGTTTTAGCCAGGACAACTTCACTGGTGAATGCACGTATGTCAGACTGGAAAAACAAAGAGACAAAATGTTATGAGGAGACATGGCACTGTCATATTTAAGGACCCAGGTGAGGTAGAAGGAAAGGTGCCTTTAGACTTATCATTCTATCAGGACCATGTTGAGGTAGAAACATTTTCACGGTAAGGCAGAATTCTGAAAATTAAACGTGGGGTTAGGAGGAGTAGAGTTATGAGAGGTGATTACTCCCCCATCTGAAAGCACAAATGTTAAGACGGTAGGTTGGTAAGGCTTGTCTCTGGTATGCATGACGTTGGAGTCTGTAGGCAATACTGCTAAAGAGTCCTGCTGTAAAAATGATCATTAATAGAATGTAAGAAATTAGGAACCAAAGTGGATAACAAAACATGACTTAGCCTGTTAACTGTGGCTGCGAGGCCTTTGTGAGACGGAGACAGGTAGGAGACAGAAGATGAGATGACCACTCAGAATGATCAGATTTAGGGCTGGGAGGGCACCTCTTAGCCTGAGCAATGTGAAACTAGGATGGAAGTCTAGCAACTTTGATTTAGGCATGGGTCGCTGTAACCTGGTTGTAGTCCTTGGAATGATTTGCTGTAACAGAACTTTAGCAAGTATGAGAAAGGCTTTTATGTATCCTGAAAAAGTATAAACCAAGTGAGAAGACTGGGACCTGCACAAACTGTTTGTAAATGGCATAGGTTGACCATCAATACCCTGTCATAGAGATTGAGGACTTATTATAGCAGCCTGAATACTCAGGAAGAACTCTGTATATATGGCCTCTATGTCCACAAATATAGAGAATGTCTTACCTGAGACTTTAGTGCGACTTGGAATCTGAGATGGACACCTTAAAGGGGGCTGTTGTTGCCCTGAACCCCCTCAGCCTCCAGCAGCAATTTTCTGTCAGTGACGAATCTGGCAGTGTCAACATTTCCTGTCAGGGCTCGAACTTAGGATGACTTACCCACTCTCTGGTGGCTAGGACAGTCCAGTAGCCCTGGAGTAAGGTCTCAAAGAATGCCAGGATGGGGCGTCTTCTGCTGCATTTGAGCATGGTCCATGGAGGGGGCAGGCAGCTCCACCTTGTGTAGGTTTACCTGTCTCAGAACTCCAAGTGTCACAAGTGTTAAAATTATGAAAAACCATATTAAGATCTCTCTAAGGTTTGAAGGTCAAGTTTTGCCTTTTTGTTTGGGATTTGAACTATAGTAGAATTAAGTACGTATGCAGGAATTTAATATTGGCATTTTGGATTAGAGAGCAGGCTTTATCTGGATGGCATACCGCTTTTTTTTATAGGGTGACACGTAGAATTAACAAAGTTTTAGTCTGCCAAACAAGGCTTTAATGGAAACATTTTGCAGTAAAGGTTTAGCAATCTTATGAATATATCTATCAAAACTGATCTAATACTGTCAAATTCTGAACACATTTACTTTTAAAGTTGTTATTTGCAGTAGTATGAACCAAGACAAATAAAACAAAACTTTGAAGAAAACCCTTGTCTTGAAATAGAGCTAGTAGTTCCCAGCAAAAAGAAATTTATTACCTTAGTTGTTAAACAGGAGATTGGTGAAGGCTTTGATTGATAAACAAGGCTGGTAAAATTATCAGGTGGCCAATAACCTTGATTAAATGGTTTGAGAATTGTAATAAAAAAGCATCTTTTGAGCGGAGCCAAATTGTAAAAAAAGCATGCCTGAGCAGAGCCGCTGAGCTGCTGTTTCACGGCGCTCCGGCAGAGCACGCCCAGTGGGTGGGGCAAGCGCTGGGATGTAGCGCGCAGGGGTGGGCTCGGACTGCCCCCGGAAACGTGTAAGGTGGCAGCGGCGACGACGGCGGCGCATGGGGGAGGGAGGGGCTGGGACGGCGCATGGGGGAGGGGCTGGGAGGTGGCCCGACACAGAGCGCAAAGCTGGAACTGCTCGCGGGGCGCGAGGATTAGAAAGCCAATTTAGGAACACAGCTGGGTTTTGATTAGCTTCCTGGACCTGTTTTAAAAGTTTGTTATAGTTAGTATGTTTGACCTGCTCTGGCACAGCTATAGGCCCAGAGTCATTATAAACGTCCTTAAAATGTAAGTCATAACAATTAGTAATAAATTTAAATTGCCTGATATAATTCTGTGGGTCAACAGAGAGGCTACCTAATTTAAGGGTTATCTGAGATAGATCAGAAAGGGAAAAAGGCACATGGATGTTAACAAGCTCCTTGGGGCCAGCTTGCTCCCGAAGCGGTAGCAGAGCCTGAGGAGATTCCGGAGCAGAGGGCCACTGAGCAGCCATCCTTCCGGTAGGCGCATGTGAGCAATCCTCTGTAGAGCGGCTACAGAGCTGCTGCCGGTCACCCTGGGAAACACAAGCAGATGGCGTCTCACTGTGTGCCTTGCAGCTAGAGGACTGCTGTCGGCAGCACAATGAAGCGTCATGTGCACTGCAACAGGGCGGCTGTTGTAGTTCACAAGAGGAGCCACAAGGAGACGCCTGTTGACAGTGAGGGACCTGGGAACATGGTGGCGCCCTGTCACGTGACCCAAAACATGGCGGCGCCTGGGAACATGGCAGCGCCCTGTCATGTGACCCGAAACATGGCGGCGCCCTGTCGCCATGTGGCCCTCCGGAACATGGCGGCGCCATGCCACGTGGCAGAGGGTTGCAACATGGCAACTGTTCCCCGCCGCAAGCTGGAACAATCACACAGCCTGTTGGAAGGACATAGCGACCGAGATCTAGCATGGTGGGCGGGCGGTGAGAATGCTGTAGGGGATACAGAATTCTCAGGAGAGGAAGTCAGAGACTTCGAGGAAGTGCTAACAGAGGGATTAAAGCTGCTGGAAGAGTTATGGGTCCCGGAAGGCAGAGAGGGAGACGATCGCACAGCGGGAGGTATCTGCGGCGGAGAGGGATTAGAGCTGCTGAGAGAATCAGGCATAGGGGGAGGAGAGAGCGGTCCGGTGGGAGATAACCGCAGGGAATGAGTTTGGTGGTAGGCAGGCGGCGGCTGGGAAAACAACGGAGAGCAGGACGGAAAAGTTTGCGGCGCAGTAGACTTAGCTAAAAGTATCTCAGCGGGAGCACAAGACTTAATGAGAGATGGGCGTGTTCTCAGAATAAGAAAGGCTTGGACATAAGGGAGTTCTAATAACTTGTTGCCAGCTTGACAAAAATCGTACAAGTTCCTGAGAATGCAGGGGTCAAATGTTCCTTTTGTGGGCCAAGGCTTGCCGATAAGCGGGTAGGTTGGCCAGACCTCCTGGCAGTAAAAAGTTAGTTGTTTAGTTTTTATGGTACCTTTAATTTTTAGAGTACGTAAATTAGAAATTAGGCATTGTAAAGGCGTCTTTTGGGAGTTAGAAAATACATTCCCCATGACTGATTCAGGCAAGAAAAAAAAAAACCGGAGGTCCAGAAAAAAGTCGTCACTTATTTGTGGTACCACGCGGCGGCTACGGTTCCAAACCGTAAACTCCAGTCGTCACTGAGAGATTTACGAATGGAGTCTACGTGGGGTCAGTAACAGTTTTGCCCGTGAAAGCGCAAGGCTTTAAGGGGAGTGAGGCATTCTTTCAGTGTGGGCGGTCCCAAAAATCTCTGCTTTGGGCTATCCGAACCCAAAGAACGTGAGAGATTTTGTGGGCGCAGGTTTGCCCAGAAAGAACCCTGCCCTGGGCGGTCCTAAGGACGTGAAAATGCACAGACCCACGCAGACGGGGAGAACATTCCACTGGGGCTGCCCAGTGCGAAAAGTTCCCCGGGGAGTGCTCACCTGAAATCAGTCTGGCCGATGCGGAGTGCAGGCGGCTGGCGACAGGAACGTCTCGGGAGAGGAAAAAGCTCGGGATTAATCCAGGATGTTATCTGGTTATCGGCGAGGAAACTCTGGGTATGTGGCCCAAGAGTCAGTTGCCTGCCGATCGAGTCACGGCAACAAATGATAGAGTTATTTCCAAAAGATGAAAAATATTAACAAAAGATGAGAAATATAAAATAAAAAGCGGCCTTTATTCTGAGAACACGGAGAGAGATGACCGGCAACCCCACCGCTGG